ATTGTTTTCAGGAGCTGCAACAATGAGGAATATCTTCTTCGATCTGCACTGGAAGTACCAGAAGTTATCCTTTTCTTGGGATAATAAAAATGTAAGAATTGATTTATTGTTAGGCGACCATTGCCACACCTTCCCCAAATAATCAAATAGCCTATAATAATTCTCCATGAATTAGGGGCAATTTGAGAAGGAGCTATCTTCAGATGGAAAAGTAAATCTTCTACAAATGGATGAATCGGAAAACGCAAACCATCAGTAAAAGTCAACTCGAAAAAGCATACCTCACCCAAACGAATAGAAGAACATCTATCTTCTGATTTGAGTTTATGAAGGTGAATAGATGAAGGAATGGAATATTTTAAATCTAAAATTATCTAAATTATCATCCCTAATTGAGGATTCTCCTGCACGTGGGAGTTGCTTAGAAAAAACAGTCATTGGTCTTGAGGGGTAATCAACACTAGATTCGCCAGCATAATCAGGATCAAGTTCTTCAACACTTTCAGAATTTGAGTCTTGAGATTGGGATTCAACATTCAAATTATCTTCATGCACAAGCATGATGAGATTGTGGATATCGTGAAAATAGCGAAACCACTCTGGAATTACACCAACAACCTGACAGAGACGGCTGGACTCAACTACGTATCTCGCAATTGAGGTTTGAAAGAATCAGAGTAAAAACAATAATAACTACAACAATCCACAAGAAATTCAAAGTTAAGATCCAGCTTAAAGGATTTTGGACCAAAAAAAAAAAAAAAAAGGGAGGTAAATAAATAAATTTATTTATTTATTTTTATTATAAGGAAATCCTTTTTGAGTAAGAATGAAATTCTCTTGAAAGAGTCCTACTAAAATTTGGAAAGGGATTTGTAGTGAAAATGAAATAAATAAAATATAAGAAAGTACATATACATATTAATCACTATTTCCTTGGTCCGAAACGTATCAGGAAATAGGGGGTAACTGATAGGGAAAAATAAACCTACCTTGACATAACGATAGAGGCAACTAGGCGTTGACCAGCCGCCAAACTTCTTCAACTTTCGAACCGTGACAGAGTCTACGATAAGAACGACGTCATTCGGTTAACAAGGATAAGGGAAGTTGTTATTAAAGATAAATCCAATCTTTAATAAACTCAACCGACTATATCAACAAAAAACCATAAATATGAGACGACTCGGGAACAAGGTATACACAAAAAATCCTGCTTGAACTATTACAATAGCATTTCTTTCTCTAGAAACCCCCACTAACTTGATCGTCAGAGGGTCTACGGTTGATACCACATTGGTGTTTGACTTAACCGTCTTTGTTTTGCAAGAAACGGTATCGTACCAGATCACGGCGAATTTCAACCCCAACAAGTTCAATAACCAAAATCTACTTCATATGCATATTTCATCATTGATAACATAAGTTCAATAACATAACACACAAGAGAAAGTCAAAAATATAGTTTTCACACATCCGCAAATATAATTATTCTGATTAAAAAAAAAAAAAAAAACATTTCAATTTATTTTACTCCTAGGAATGCAATAAAAAAAATTTAACATTTACACGAGTCTCCATTCTTCGGATATATGCTTTTCTGTTAAATAACATTTGAATTTTATTAATTTGAAAAAGAAGGAATATTTGCATTAAAAGTTGACTTTTTTCATCACATTTTTATTAATGAATTACCTGTATCTCAAGGTCTCGTCGCCTTATAGGTCCTCCAAACACACAATGGCTTTCGCTACTCAACAAATAAAAAATAAGGGAAATTTTAGACGATGAGGTGGATCATCATTCTCATCTAGGGGCAGAGCTTCATTCAAACATAGGACATGGTACATGTTCCTACAAAACCTATTCATGATTATCAACAGCAATGAAATTCATTCCCACCAAAACGCAGTGGAAATCATCCTGTTATATGTCAAATCTGTAGAAATAAAGGTCAAGAAACATTGAAGTGCTGGTATCGATTTGCTACTATGTTGTGGTAGGACATGGAGATAAATTACATATCACCAATACCGGTGAAGGAGAAATTAAAAATAACAAGCATCAGATTCCTTTCCGAGATGTGTTTTTGGTGTCCTCTATTAAGAAAAATCTGGTTATTTGTCTCTTAATTAACTTCTAATTATCCTTGTTTCTTTGAGTTTGACAATGATCGTTTTATAATAAAGGATCGCCAAGACACAACAAAAACTCGGAACAAAAAGTAAGCATGGAGGACTCTACACTTTTGGAAGGCCTAAAGCTCAAGTCTTTTTCTCAAATCGGTTTAGGAGTACAGATGAAGATGTTTGGCATCGTGGGTTGGGTCATCCTCAATCCTAAGTACTAAACTATTCATGCTACGTTTGTTGTGGAATGGTCATTCTATTTTATTGTTTGGTTGTAAATATGAAATTTGTAGGAATGAAATAATAGTAATCATTCTAATAGATAGTTGGATCAATTTAAAATTTAGAATGAAATAAATTTTTAATTGAATTCTCCAAAATATCCCTCTTAATAACGAATAAATTAAATTAAATTAACAAAATGATATTCTCTAATAATTTTTTTTTAAAAAATGGTGGTAATGACAGTAGTGAATGGTGGAAAGCGGTACTAGTATAGGTGGTAGTGTTGCAAGGCGGAGATGGTGGCAATGGTGGAAATTGGTGGCAATAGTGGTGGTGGAAGGTGGCAATGGTGTTGGTGGAAGGCGGTGACAATAGTGTGGTGATTGTGGTGAAAGAAAATAGTGGTGTGACTATAGTGATGGTGGAAGGCAATGGAAGTGGCAGCGGTAGTAATAATTTCATTTCAATGGAGTAATAATTTCATTTCAGTCAATAAGAAGTCTATTGGACTTTGTATGAATTGTCAGCTTAGCAAAAGTTGCAAATTGCATTTCTTTTCTACAAATTATATGCCTCTGAAACCTTTAAATTAAGTTCATTCCAACTTATGGGGAACATCACTCTCCTCATCTATTCAAGGCAAAGGCAGACAGAGGGGTAGGCAAAGGTGGGCTCTACCCCACTCAAAAAAAAAAAAAATTTTTTTTTGCTATACTAATATTAGCTCAACTCAAAAAAAAAAAAATACATATATATATATATATATATATATATTGTTAGTATTAGTCCACCTCAACCTCCCACCCAAGCACAAAACGTGTTAAAACAACAATGTGTAGCATGATTAGAAATGAATTTCTTGCTGACTACATTACCATCAACCTTGAACGGGAATTTGTTTGAAAAATTGACTTAGAGTTTATTATTGACGAATTCGTCGAACACAACTTAGATAGATATTTTGTAATCTTTGAATTCAAATATTTATCTATATTATGTTATAATTATTTATTTATTTTTTTAAGAAATTTGTTATTAAATTTATGTTTAATATTAGTCCACTCTAACCAGAAATCCTGAATCCGCCCTTGATTTAAGGATTTTTGTATTATGTCGTATTTGCAGATGATTTTTCGGGCTTCTGTTGGTTCTATCCTCTAAAGCATAAATTAGATTTCTTTTATACATTTGTTAATTTTCAAAAGATGGTTGAAAAATAACTCGGGAAAGAAATACAAAATTTTCAATCGGATGGGGGTGGTGAATTTTAAAAGAAAGCATTTTTAGATCATTTGACTGAAAAAGGGATAGTAAATCAGCTTTCTTATTCAAGTACTCCTGAGCAAAACAGTGTTCCAAAAATGAAACATATGCACTTGGTTGAATTGGGTTTTGTAATGATGCTACAGAAATCAATTCCTCTAAAAATTTGGTGGAAGCCTCAAGTTAGGAAGGTTTCATTGCTATTTTTTAATAAATCATGTGCCTTAAAAAAAATGACATGTGTATTAAAATATTAATATAATATTAAAAATTAAAAATACACTAGAATCGTTTTTTAACGGGTTAAACCCAACTGAAAAAGTTCTCTTTCTATCAAATCTCCATAGCCAACTCTAATTCCTCTAATCCCTGTCACTCCTCACCTTCCACCACCACCGCCGCTCTCCCCCTTCTCTCCATCTCTCTTCCCACCTCTCTCTCTCTCTCTTCAATTCATAGGTAATTGCAGTCTACATAGCATCTATATGTATATAAATATTTTTGTAGCAAATCAAAAGATAGTCTCCTCCTTGAACGATGTTGTTGACAATGTCGACCACCTCGTTCTCTTTCTGATAGAGGTTATCCTGATTTAGCTTGAGATAATGGCATCCACGAGGGTCGATGTGGCCTCCCTGCTCCAGTAGTTTTCAAGCAATCAATGGTGTGTTTTACTTGGGTATCTCTGAAGAGAGAGTCACAATAGAGAATTTCCCGGTTAAAGTTGACCTGATTCATAATTATTTACTTTTTTAAAAAAACACGTGTCAAAATATTATTGTGACACCTCACCTGTAGAAGGAAGTATATGAAGAATTGTTTATAGGGTAGAAGGCAACTATTTTACTTAAAAATATTTGAATACTTTGACCTTTTATAATTTTTGTAGCATTTTAAGGGTCATAAAGTCATTTTATTTAAGTTGAAGGGCATTTTGGTCAGCACATTAAATTTTTATGACTGAGTTGACGTGTCTAATTAAATCACACTTTAAGAAAAATCATTATAATTTACCTTTTAAAAAATTTTAATACCATATGAAGAATTGTTTATAATAAATAAAAAAAAAATTTCATTGATCCATTCATTTGGAAACAAAGCAAGAATCATGTCCATCTAAAGGACTAGGGTTAAAATACAATTTTAAGTTTTGTAGTAGTAATATCTTATTAGACTAGTGATTAAATTTTTTTTTTTGAAAAGTCTATCACACAAAACCTTTGCAAAATTATTGTTGATGTATGGATATCTATTAAATTGAGTGGCTAAGTTAAATGAAGTAAGAATAAAATTTAAAAATATATATATATATATATATATATATATATATATATATATATATATATAACGTAATAACGACGCCTATTAAAAAAAATTTTGTGACATAACTGTGATGGCACATCGAGGTTGAGGATTTTCTCTGTAATTTCCGTCCGTCCTTTCTTTGTCCTTCTCGTAATACCATAGTATATATACACAATGTTATTTGAGACAACTTGGTTTCAGAGAAGCTTCCGAGAAAGGAAAAAAAAAAAGAATTTGGTTTCGGTGGACCAACGAATTTAATAGTCAAATCATGTTCAGCTTTGTGTTTCTCTTCTTCTCTATTTTCAACTCTTTCTGTGTTCTCTCTTGATCTTCTTGCACTTAAAGAATCATCAGCATCGGATTGAAGGAGGGAATTCGAGGAGAGTAAAGCTTCAACATGTTGCAGGTAATTACCCAGAACTCCGATGATGTCTGTACAAACAGTAGAACTCTTTGAAACCCTACACTTTTGGGTATTCCAGATGTTCCAAGCCCTTTTTGTGGTGTGTGTTGGTGTACCCATAACTCCATTCTCTTGGCTTGTGGTCATTTTGGTCCCATTTGTGTTATTCTCACTCCAGATAGAATCAGTTTATACCCTTTTGTTGGCTTAATGGTCATTGCAATTGACTCTATATAATCATATGTTGGTTTTGCTTGGCTTTCATTGTTGATATCCAACTGTTAGGGCTCAAAGAATTGTTTTTTTTGCAATTAGGGTGACTCTACTTTGTGGGGATTCGGGGAAGGATTTGTTTAGACTGAATATATCAAATGAGGATGAATTTATAGTTAATCAGGAAAATGAGTTTCTAAATTGGAAATTTATTGTTTTTAAAAGGAGGTTAAATTGAATAGAATTATGACCTTTTGAGTAATGACCGGGTTGAGGAAGGGACAAAAAATGTTACTGCTTCAAGACTTTGATCGGACACTCTAATACCAACTTAAAATATGATTCTGTTGTGATCAGGGTTGAATGAGAGAAAGGGAGAATGAAAAGATGAGAGTTGTCAAGGAATAGGTTGGAGAATGAGAATACCTCTCGTTTCTACAACAATATATATTAATATTATTAAATGACCGATAATTACAAAAAATGCTCCATTCTAAAGTATTCTCGTTTGCTTGCATTTTAGGAGAAGCCATTTAAGATAAGGACATTGCTGATAACTTGTTACTGCAGTTGGCGGGTTTGGACTGAGGCAACTGTGTTTGATCACTAATGCTTGCAAAATGGGAGAAGTGGTGGTTTTATTATAATGGCTTCTTATGCAGATGACATGTTGGGTCTTTTATACTGATCAATAAGGTATTTTATAATTTTTAAGTGTAATGGAGCAAATATTTTCATGTGAAGGTTTGGGTGATTTGTGTTACTGATAGGAAACGCAGGGTTCCAGAAGGGAATCTCTCGACTTCCGTCTTTTAGAGAGGATATGTGATAGGTTCTTAGAAAGAGACAACTGTTGGGTGCAAACTGCAAATTATATTGAGAAGTCTAAAGTGCAATAGAGATGGGCATTCTTTATAAATATTTTTTCTGGTAGGTATACTTATGATTTTGTTTTCTGTTGTATCGGTGTATAAGACGGGAAGAGGCTGGTTTCTTTGATAATTTGTAACATTTAATATTGGGTGGGCAAAGAATCCAGTTTGAACATACTTACCTCTACCTTTACTTATCAAGAAAAAAAAAGAATCCAGTTTGAACATACATTGAACTCCAATAGTTAGGAAAAATAGTATGATACATAAAGAATCACACTGAGATTGCTTACTAAATTACTCAGAAAACCATGTCTATGATTACCAAAATAAGCATTTATTTTTCTTTAAAAAGTTTAATATGTGGCTAGAAAAGAAATTTTGTGCTGAATTAGTTTCTATCTTTTTTTCTTTTTTTTTTTTTTTTTGGTAAGTAAATTAGTTTGTATCATGGCTCCATTGGGTCACTTGTTAATGTCAATGAGTCTACTCCATATGCTAATACATCACCATTTTGTAGGATTTTAAAGCAAAAATAATTGGCAGGCACTCACCCACTGTATCTTCCTGAAATATACAAGACTCCTTTACAGATTCTGCATGTACATACTGCATCTGTTTGAAAACTTTTTTTCATTTTATGTCTTTTTACCAGAACCATCCATCTTAGTGTTCTCTGGCACCGCAGTTCTACGCATATTGCACGACACTTCTCTAGTTTAAGTTGAATCAAATACTTGGATCATTCATTATTGACTTAATTTGACTATTATGGAGTTAAATACTAACCGGATCACTTCAATCATGGCAATAAATTGGGTCTGCATTTGAGATCACCTACATGTTCATTCCTTCCAATCTAGTGATTAAGCGGTTTTATCCAATGAGTATGCATGCTATATGCAATTTTCCATTGCAGTATCATCATGAACTTGTTGAGGTGCATCTTTTATTTTATTTTTTTGAAAGGCAAGGCGCATTTTTTATTGCTCTTCATAGAAAGTTAGTTAGTTTTTATCGTTTGAAGTTTCATCTGCTTAACTAGCTTGTTACTATAGTCAGTTTATTGACAGAGTGATTTGCAGGATATAGTGATTATACGAGCAAGAACCCTTCTTTTCAAGGGGAGATTTAGTAGGATTCTGTGTTTTGCATACTTCCACATTCTCCTTCCAAAAAATCGGTTGTCTTTTAAGGTTTATACGAATTTCGAGCCATTTTGGGGAGGAGAGAGGTGGATGGTGTTCTCTTGCTGTTAGGACCCCAGGAGGTGTCGGTGTTCAGAAATACATTCGGAATTGTTGGGATGAATGTTCTAAACATATCAGATATGGAGTTCAGGATGGCAGGGGCACTAGTTTTTGGGAGGACTTATGGTGCGGTGATCGCCCTTTGGCTTGTTCTTTTCCTAGGCTTTTCAGGATTGCCGTTGATAGACATGCCTTGGTTGCCGACTGATAACGGTTGATAGCGGGAGGCTAATTAGGGATGTGTGATTCTCGAGACATTTTCAAGGCTAGGAAGTGAATGGCGCCGTTGTTTATTATTATTTTTTTTGGAGCTTTTGTATTGTCAGGTCTTTGATGGTGGAGGCCCTGATGCTCTCATTTGGGTGCCCTCTTCTCAGGGGAGATTTGATGTGCGCTCTTTGGTTAGATACCTCTCAGACTTTCTCGAGCATGTCTTCCTGTAGAAGGCGGTCTGGCGCACCAAGGCTCCTCTTGAGGTGGCCTTTTTCGTTTGGACTACTGTGTGGGGCAAGATTCCAACGCTTGATAACCTGAGAAGGAGAAGACAAGTCACTGTCAATTGGTGTTGCATGCGTAAGAAGGATGGAGAGTAGTTGACCATCTCCTTTTGCATTGTCCCGGGGCTTTCAATTATTGGGGTCTTCTCTTTGGCTTGTTTGGAGTTCTTCGGTCTTCGAGAGGCTTGATTGATGCTTGGAGAGGGTGCCTTGTGGGATCCCATGCTCGTGATTTTTGGAGGGTGGTGCCCCTATGCATTTGGTGATGTTTATGGAAGGAGTGGAATAGAAGATCCTTTGATGGATAGGAGTCTTTTATTGGGGCTTTAAAATCTCTTATTGTTAGCTCTCTTTTTTGTTGGGTTATGGGGAGATATTGTACTCCTATAGAGGAATTTGTTGATTTTTTGGGTTCTTTCCCTTTTGCCTTTTGGCCTTTCTGAAGCTTTCGGGATGCGTTCCCCTTTTGAACACTTTTTAATTAGTACATCTTTATTTATCAATATATATATATATAATTCAGCCTACTATAACAAATGCTATGTTGGGCCCACATGATTTTAAAGATGGCATTGATAATTATGAGTCTTTTGAAGGCGAAACTGGAGTTGTAAGTTTAGAATCTTTCTTCTTGTTTGACCTATTAAATTCAAATGACCTTGGACGAGATCTATGTGATTGAGTTGAACTTGACTAGTATATATTCCATAGTACCGTTCTGTGGTAGATTTGTCAAATTCGTTCATCATAATTAACCATCATGTACTTTTGCTGACCATTAGATGGGCCCAATAATAATTTCTTCGTCTTGCTATTCTTTTTGAGAGATATACTTATTTGTAGCCTTTAACTAGGATCTTTAATTTTTCTTTTTTGCCTTCTGTTTTCTGGAACATCTTAAAATCAGTTGATTGGGTTTAATCTTAATGTGATGCATTTCTCTCCTCTGTCATCCATCTCTGTGTTCTGCATTTTAGTCCTGAAAAAATAATAGATCCTTAGACACAATAAATGCTATGGTCTATCCAAAGGTCAATAAAGAACTTTGACTGCTTTTATTGGTGAACTGGGTTTAGATTTTGTTCTCTGTTTGTAAGTTTTGTTCACTTTGTTCGGCCTTGAATTACTAATTTTTCTCCCAGGAAAAAGTTTATTTATATCTTACATGAGAGTTAGTGTGGAAAGACAGAACTAAATTTGGCTGAGAGGTGGTTAATTTGGAAAACACAGGATCCACTTTGAGTTGTAGAGGGTGCCCTTCTGGCATCGTATTTGGTTTTACCACTTGGCTTGGTTTGTCCTTTTGTCCTTTAAGACCAAAGTGGGTTGAGATTTGGTAGTACAGAGTTTGAAAGGAGATTGGGGGCCTTGGTTTGTCCTTTAAGACCCAAGTGGTTTGAAGATAGCTAGGGAAAACAAAAGGTTGTTTGAAGATTTGGTAGTATAGAGAATTTTTTTTTTTTGATAAGTGGTAGTATAGAGATTTGAAAGGCGATTGGGGGGTGGAAGGGGCAATTTATCTCCATGGAAATTAAACTTTCTCCGATAAAGGATATACTGTTAGGACTTCCTACATAATGTCTTTTTGCATGGTTCCAGTCTCAGTGGCTAATAGGCTAGAGAAGTTATACAGTTTTTTTCTCTAGGGTGGTCTTGGAGAGGAATTTGAAATATCATATTTGCTAATTGGAAATTCTTCTTTTCATCTGATGCTAGTTGGGGGATTTTGGGTTAGAAGACTTAAGGTTCCAACCTGTTCAGAGAGGTGGTTATGGATAATTTCAAGATAGTGGGATACTTTATGGTGGAGATTAGTGGCTACCAAATATAGGAGTGGATGGGGTGACTGGACTTTGATGGAGGTTTCATGTTTGGAAAGGTATTATGAGGGTGGGATGAATCTTCATACATGTCAAATTTGTGTGGTGTTACTATGTTGTGGTTCTGGCGTTGGTAATTGGGTGGATATTTCTCTTTAAAGGAATCGTCTCTGGGCTTGTAACCACCCCTATTTTAATCCTTTTTTACCGAATTAAGATCAATATTCCGGGCTTAAATTGAGAATTCCAAGGAAATTAAGCTTTAAATAGAATTTTAGGAGTTAAATGAATAGGCAAAAAGGATTTAGAATAGAATCCGAGGTTAAATAGTTAACTCTGCAAGAAAGTGGAGTTCGATCGGTCGACTTGAATGGTGGCATGTTAGACACACTGGCAATGATGTAATTTGGTGGACTGTAATTGATCTACTTATGGGCCACAATTGATTGACATATGCCAGGTAAGCCCCCTCGGGACCGGGAAAAAAAAAGGAAAAATTTTCTCAAGGCTGCCTTTTTAAATATATGTGTGTGTGTGTGTGTGGAGAGAGAGAGGAGATTAAAGCATTGTAAAACGTATGCATCCCAAAGGGCATTGTTCTTATCGTGACTAATTTTGGTGGGTTTGGTTGCTGAATGCATTGTTACTTTTCTTATCATTGTCATTGCCCTGGTGCCTTGATGTTTTCTATCTGCTTGCTTGCATACTTACTACTTAGTTGTTTCACATAATAAATCATCCTTTGGTTAAAAAATCTTGACTATTATGACACATTGAAGAGGAGAAGAGGTGATTTACTTTTACGATATATAGATTTCCTATTCTCAATAAGTTTTGAAGACTTTTTCTTTTTGGTCTTGGCTGCTCATGTTTTTGTTCATATGTAGGAGCATTCTGTAACACCTGCAGCTGTGGATCATGAGACAACCTGCTGGGGCTGTGGATTGCGGCTTGTTCTTTCACCTTATGCACCCATTTTCAAGTGTGGGTGGTGTGGAGCTATTACTAACCAAAATGCACGGACACGTGATAAGAAGTACTTTTGTTGGAGGCGTTGGCGAGACTGGTGCTTTGTATCTGTCCTCCTTACATTTATACTCTTCGTGATATGTAAGTCACTAAAGCCATGATATATTTCCTTGGAAGTTATCTCTTTTCCATCAGCCGAAACATTACTTGTTTCTTATGACATGTACTTGGGCATAAACATTATTACTTACTACTACTACTTTGTAAATATTGAAGTTTAACTAGATGTTTGCAAATGAGTGTATGGTTCAAAAGAGAAATCTAGAGAATACTTGCATGTAGCTTTGGATTTGATGCATTTCATGGTCAACATTTGAGTAAATTTGGATATGTAGGGAATTTGAACTTAACGTATTTGGAAAGCTTGCTGATAGGGGTGCAACTTTGATGGGTTGGGTGGGTTGAGGGATGAACTCAGGCTTTACCGAAGGTATAAAACCTTCCCGAACCCGATCTACAACCCAATCTCCACTACATGAGCCCGACCTGCATTCACAAATTTGAATAGGTAGCATAAATTCCTTCCTTCATCGATATAAAGGATAATAATTCCCTTAATCATTAAGTTTTTAGAATCCTCACATGGAGACACGACACCTACGGGCTGTCATCAATCCTATGCGAGGTAGCAAGAATTCCTAATTTGCTCATGCTTATAGCCTTGTAGGTGGAGAGCACACCTATCCACTCTGACTTGCAGGTGGAGAGTACACCTTCTTTTCTCGAGGTCAAGAGTAAACCTTCTCTCACTTGCAGGTGGAGAGAGGATCTTTACAAGCCTTTCCCAAAGGTCCCTTGCCAAGTGTAACGCCCTTGCCTTGGTCTTTCGCTCTTTATAGATAAGAATTAAATGTTGAGTGTTGCAATGATTTCTCATGAAAGATAGATATACAATTTAAGCTCACAATGTTGTGACAGCAAAAGCGAACGAATAACAAAGACGATGACAAAACACAATATTTACGTGGTTCACCCAAAATTTGGGCCACGTCCACGGGCGAAGAACGACTAACGTTTCTATTCAAAATAAGAAGACTACACACAAACTCTCTACTCTCTCAACTAAATTCTCTCACAACTTTGTTCACATGCACCTCAACTCAAAACATGGTCTCTATTTATAAAGTTCCAAACCCAATTCCTTGTTAGACAAGTGTTACAATTCAGTAGAGCCAAAGACTTCTCTAAAATAGAAACCTAATTATTCTAGAATTTGAGACACATAACAAATCTCTACCTTGGCAAAATTCTTCACCTTGATTGAAAATCATCAACTCAATCGTCCTTATTTTTTGGGGTTGTCTTCGCCACTCCACCACACTAATCAATTACTAGCAAACCCTAAGTTCAGATAATTTGCGAACTTGCTCATTCACCACTCTAGTAGCTCTCAAAACGGCCTTCCACTGTGTCTTTGCAACTGCTCTACCTAATAAAGTATTCCCCAATAGAATATACAGATTATTAACCTTCTTTCCCACAAGCATAATACGTGGAACTCTTCTGACCTTCATAAGCCCATTCTTTGCTTCATACCAACAACCCTTCGAATCCAAGGCTCCTAAAGATAACACGTTCCTTCTAACACTTGAACATGATGTACACCAATCCAAGTCCTTACCAACCCATATGTTGTCTTGATATTGATTGTTCTAATCCCCACAACCTCATAAGAATAATTGTTCCCCATAAACACCTTACTGACTACCACAACTTCATAAGAAGAATTATTCCCTATAAACACCTTACTGACTAAAGGCTTGTAGGAGGTAAACCACTCTTTATGAGGACACGTGTGATAGGAACAAGCAGAATCAAATATCCATTCCTTAGCTTCTCCCTTGCAGTGAATGATTGAAAGGACTTCAATAACGTTTTCTTCTACATTAGTAGTCTCGGACACAACAACAGTACGGACGCACCCTCTTTATTTTTAGGACAATTCCATAGAAAAGTGTCATTTTCTCCATAATAGTAGCACTCCCGCTCCATGATTGGTGTCCAATTTCGTGAAGCTCCACCTCTCCATTTACCTTGTCCTCCTTGCTTTCCTTCAAACTTCTTCTCTTGAGCAACAAGGATTGAGACTGATCGTATTGATTATATCTTTCATTTTCACCATTCATCTCACTAGAGAATATAGCATTCTTTACTTGCTCCATCGTGATGGTATCTCTTCCATAAAGCAAAGTTTTGAAAAAATGCATATGAGTGGAGCGTACCGACGTTAATAAGATAATAGCTTTATCCTCATCACTTAATTTAACACCAATATTAGATAAGTCACAAATAATCTTGATAAACTCACCGAGATGGCCACGCAAATCCACACCTTTTATGCAAAAGGAGTACAATTCTTGCTTCAAGATTAGCTGTTTGGTGAGGTTCTTTCCCACATAGAAATCCTCTAATTTTTTTTTCCTAGGTAAATGTGGAAATTTTCTATAAATATAGAAAATATTGTACAAGGTAACTACAAGGGCATGCCCTTGGGAAACAGAAATGCTTCATAGTAGTGAACATACAAATAGATGCTTTGAAAAATAACAAACAGCTAGCTCAAATAGACTGGGAGCCATACGGGAAGAATTCCCCCATAGACATATCAGTTAACATCAAAACCTTCCACCATATCCCTCTAGCAACCTCCTCAGCAGTCCTGGCAATATCTAATTTTTTCCACATATCTGCCGCTGAAGTTTCTCCTATTATATCATCAGTCAAGGTCAATTGAATAGCACTCACTGCCTTCAAGTTTATCTTATCCCACTTCTTATCATCCATCCCCGTTGGTTTGTTGTCCAACGCTTCTTTTAAACCTTGCTGAATTAACAGATCTCACATTTGAACTTGCCAAACACTGAAGTTCTTTCTTCTATAAAACTTTTCGACTGCATACTTTACATATGTAGTAGTTGCCACGATGTCTCTAATACCATTTGTTGTGACAGCGAAAGTGAACAAACAACAAAGACGATCACAGAACACAATATGTATGTGGTTCACCCAAAATTTGGGTTATATCCACATGTGAAGAACGACCAACTTTTATGTTCAAAATATGAAGATTACAAATAGACTCTCTACTCTCTCAACTAAACTTTCTCACAACCTCATCCACACGCCCCATAACTCAAAACATGGTATCTATTTATTTATTTTTTTGATAAGTAATAATGAAATAAAAAGGCGTTCAAAAGGGGAACGCGTCCCATAAACAATAGTGGGACCGGGGCTAAAGCCCAAAGAATCTAGGAAAGTAATTAAATCATAAGAAGAGGAGCAATAACTCCTCTTCACATAATTGAAGAGAGAACGAATAATAAAAAGTTTCAGCGTCGCTGTAGACGACTTCTTCCCTTCGAACATTCTGTTATTTCTCTCCTTCCATATGCACCACCATACGCAATGTGGAACAACTCTCCAGTAATCACGTACATCTCTTCTCACACGTCATCCTCTCTAAGCATGAATCAACTCCATAGAAGAAAGTGGCATTACCCAACGCATGCCAAACAACCCAAGAATGAGATTCCAACAGTCGTGCGCCACAGGGCAATGCATGAGGATATGATCAATTAACTCACCATCTTGCTTGCATAGGTATCACCAATTGACAAAACAATTACCCCTTTTCCTCAAATTATCAATTGTCAGTATCTTACCCCAAACAGCGGTCCATACAAAAAATGCTACCCTAGTTGGAGCCATAGAACAACAAATGGTCTTCCACAGAAAGACAAGGGGATCAAAATTAGATAGACATAGGAATAAAGATCGCACTTCAAAGCGACCATGGGAAGAGGGAATCCATGTCAAATCGTCACTTCCTCTACCAACTCCTTCCTGCCGATACAATTGATCCAGGAAGACACAAACCTCGTTCAATTCCCAATCCTGAAAGGGACGTCGAAAGTGCACATTCCACGTAATCCCACTGCTATCAAGTCGATAACAGTCAGCTACATAGGCGTGCCTATCAATTGCAATACTATATAGTCTGGGAAATGTACGAGCTAATGGGTGATCACCACACCAAAGATCTTTACAAAACGAACACATCAGCCATCACGAACTTTGAATCTAATATGAGAAGAGAAGACGTCCCATCCCTTCCAAATGGATTTCCACATGCCAACTCCTCCCGTAAGGGTAACAGAACTAGTAGACCAGCCACCAATCTCTTCCCCAAACCGACATGAGACTAACGTTCACCAAGGATGATGTCTTTCCCTCCCAAATCTCCACAACCATTTGCCCAAGAGAGCTTGGTTAAAAGGAACCAGTCTTCTGATACCAAGACCCCCCAACTTTATAGGCTTGCAAACTTGCTCCCATCTGACAAGGTGATACTTAAACTCTTCTCCTCTTCCTTTCCAAAGGAAGTCCCTTTGAATTTTTTCAATCCTATTAGCAACGGAGCATGGGATTTGGAACATGGACAAAAAATATGTGGGTAGGCTCGATAAAGTGCTCTTTATAAGAGTAACTTTACCCCCCTTGGCAAGTATTGCTTCTTCCAACCTGCCAATCTCTTTGCACGCCTATCAATCACAGGGTCCCAACTGCCCACTCTCCTGGAAGAAACCCCCAGAGGCAAACCCAAATAAGGAATGGGAAAAGAACTCACCTTATAACCAAGAACTGCAGCTAAAGAAGAAATATCCTGAACATTCCCTACCGGGACAAGCACGCTCTTTGCCACGTTAACCTTCAACCCGGAAATTGCCTGAAAACAAGCCAAGATACACCTCAAATATTTAAGCTAAGACACATCACCGTCGCAAAAAACCAGGGTGTCGTCCGCAAAGAGTAAATGAGAAATCTCCACTTGATGGACTAGATCTCTTCCCACCGTGAAGCCCTTAATAAGACCAAGATCTTCAGCCCTTCGCATAAGTTTGCTTAAGCCCTCCATAACAATAAGAAAAAGGAAAAACGACAAAGGATCTCCTTGTCTTAAACCCCGAGAACACCCAAAAAAATCAGCGGGAGATCCATTCACAAGAACTGAGAACTTAACTGATGAGAGGCAAGTCTCAATCCATTTCCTCCATCTACTTCCAAACCCCATTCTTTGC